CACTGAAGCTGGGGGCCCGCGCAGGCGCGCTGCCCGCGCCGCCGGAAGTGACGGTTCCGGCTCTTGTCACGTGGAGGGAGGCGGGGAGGTGGTTGTGGGGGTTGAGGACGAGGGTGCGGCCTGGGGTGCTGGGTCTGGGGTCCCGGCCAAGATGGTTCAGGCCAGGCCTGTGGAGCCCAGGCTTCGAACATGGAGGTGGCCCGGGGACCGGTTCCCGCGTTGGCTACGCTGCGGGAGTCTGTCATCTCCGCTAGGAGTTTGTCACTCAGTGGGCTAAAAATTGCAGTCAACAACTTTACCCCCGCTAAGGAACTCCTCGCTGCATCTGTAAGCCAGTTTTCCAGACCTTCTCCCCTGAGAACCGTCTTCCGCTCGCCCACCCTGAGCGTGGGAGGTGGGAGCAGCACGGAACTAGAGCGGATTCCAGTAACCAACTTCTAAAGCCACTGTGTCGCACTCTAACAGACGCTTGTGCTGGGAAGCGTTTTGCGGTTTATGAGGAGTACTTTCAGAATCGCATGTGTGCTGTGCAACAGTCGCATGAAATATTCAGGGCAGGTATTAAGTCAGTTTATAGACTATCACCTTTGACCAAGAATGCTTAACGGACTTGCCCAAGGTCATGCAGCTAGCTGGCTTGTGGTAGAGCTTGGGCTACGAGGTCCATCCTTCCACACTTAGTTCCCTATTTGGGGCCATTCTGAAAAAAGGTTAGGGTCAGATCTTTGCAAAACGGGAGATTTAGGGCTGTTTGGAAGCACACCAGCTATTGGGATCCCCTCTCACTTCTTTAATAAAGAGATCTGCCCTTTAAAAAAAAAAAAAAAAACCGTTGCGTCCTTTTCATAAGCTGCGGGAATCAATGTCTGCAGGGTGATGCAGGTTAAATGAACAAGGGCGTAAGACATACCGGGGGGTAAGGAATGGCAAATTGTAGAACATATGTAAAGTGCAGCGAATTCTCAGCTCCAGTCTGTTTTCTCCACCCCCCACCCCCACCCCCGCCCCATGAATGAATACAGGACCCCTGTGGCCAGAGATTCTAGTTCCTTAAACCAGAAATCAGGAATTTTTCTAAAATGGCATTTCTTAAATTTTCAGAGGGTAGGCCAAATGAATTGTGCCTACAGGAGTTCAGTATGCACCTTCCATGAAAGTGGATTGTTGTGGTTCTATCCCCACCCTCATTTCTTTATCCAACTTTTTAATGAGATACAGGCAGAAACATGAGGCAATGTGCTTAGGCAAAAGACTTTGAGTCTAAATATCTTCCATTCTTTCCTTCCCTCTGCTATTTGAAGGGCAGCTATTTATGCCAACACCAAAACAGTGCTCTGGATTTAGGCATTTTTGCTACATAACCCGCTAAGCTAAAATTCATCAGGAGATCTGACCTTTAAAGTACATTCCAGCTCAACAGAAGATTGTGTGTCAGATGATTGATGTGGTGTGACAATTGGGGATTTCCATTTAGAAATAAGCTGGCCCTTTTCCTTACTGTGGGGATTCACTGTGGAGTCTCATTCCTACATTTGAATTACATTTTTCAAGCAGAATACTGGAGAAATTTAGTCATTTCATACAATTCAAACCTGGACTCAGCTTAACATGCAAAGTTTGAGCGTCATACAACTTCACCTGATTACAAGAATAAAAGTCTCCTATGATTAGTTTGGGAGCCAATTTACCACAACCACTGTGGTAAAGAAAATCACTTCTTTGTACTCAAAGAACCTGACTTCTGACAGGGAAGTTGATAATTACTTTTAGGGCAGAGACCTCCATCCCGGTCACCAAAACTATAGGGAACACCAAATAATGCATTCTTTAGTTTCCTACCAAGCAAGAAATAAAATTTGAGTATCATTCGATCTTCACAGAATGTTAACTCCACAATACCCTATGACAGCTAATAACAAACATATTACAAATAAGAATATAAAAGCATTATATTACTAATAAGAATGCCAAGCATTTCCAAACACTTATACTACCAAGAGTTATTGATACTTACTGTCAGATTATATCCTTCTATCAACTTTGTGAGTTAAGAATGACTATCCTTAAACCAATTTGTAAGTGGAAATTGAGACACTAAGGGCAGACTGTTAATCAGTAAAAATATATATATAGAGAGAGAATTATAGTATTTTAGTTTTGCACTCATTATTACACCATGGTTGTGGAAGAACATCCAATTTGACATTCTGCTGGAATAAAATATCTAGAAAAAAATGTATGCATAATGTAAATTCTGACCATCTCAACTGGCATCGAGGCGACCCAAATATAGAATAGTTTAATAAAAGTAAAAGAAATAAGAAATACATTTCTATTTTCAAATGTTTATAGCTATAGTGCTATAAAATAGTTCTGAACTAGCCACATAATGAAATCTTTTTTTAAAAACAGATTGCTTCACTTTGCACGGTTTCATGTTACAGTATTCTGAAAAAGTCAACAGATCATTATATCTAAAGGGTTCTGAGATCCTTAAACAGGAGGGATTTTGCCAATGGAGGGAGGGCAGATTATTATTATATTGTCTTCTACAGGAAAACTATAACCCTTCTTGCTACTCTGACCCTCACTTATTTTGCACTGTTAGCTCTCAAAGACATAAATGAAGTGAGAAAGACTGACAGACATAGATCAAATAAAATATGCTTATGCCAAAAGGCTTAGTCCAGTGCTGTAATTACCTTTATAAGTCATCACTTTCAATGCCTGATTAATCATTTTTCCTCACAAGTCAATGTTTTCCTTTGATGATGTGCCTTCAATTATTAGCTTCTTTATGTTTTACTATTAGGAATAATCATTCTCCTTGCCTAACATTATTACTTTATACCTAGTTAAATGCCCAAATATTTGCTTTCCTAAAAATTAAGAGTCCTGAATTCCATTAAAAGAATACATGCCTCCATTATTAAAAGAAGTGGCTTTTTCTATCACTGATATTTAAATCCTATTAAAAAATATTCCACATTATCATTATATCTTGTAAAACTTTATATACATCTAAGAAAAGTCAATCTCATAGTGTAGTTTAAAATACCAAGCTGCTCACAAAATATTCTCAATAGAAAAAATTACTCATTTGGCATGAAATGCTTTTTTATGATAGTATTTTTTTCCTACTACTTGACTATATTTCTAAAGAAAGACTGCAAGAGGTAGACTACTTTATCACCAAGAGAGACACTTTGATTCCCCACACAGCCGAGTGAGTTCCACCAGGTATATAGCACCTCGGCCTCTTACTTCGTGGCAGTGATTTCTTCCTGCCTAAAGAAATTATTTGTCCTAAATTGGGGATTACAGACCTATTCCTGGATATGTTCCTGCCCTCCCTATTCTTGATAGCCTTTGCATTTCCTTCCTATGGCTGAGCTACTACCCTGTCCCCAGTTACATTTATATCAAACTTTAGCAGAGTTAAAATAAGAATTAATCCTTATTAGGCACTCGTGATGTACCAGTGCTATTCTTAAATGCATTACATGTATTAACTCAGTAAATCTTCATGAAAATACTATGAGATAGCATTTCACTTTATTATTCCTACTTTGCAGATGAAAACACTGATGCACAGAGATGTTAGATTACAAGTCATAAAAGTTTTATGACTTGTAACAAAGTTGAAAACCAGTAGCATTGCTTTATAGCTCATGGTCTTTACTAGACCATGCAGACTTTCCTTGAAAATATTCAATAAATTATACGATAGCTACGATCTGAGGTTTTAGGGTACCCTTCTATGCCCACTGTCCACATCACTTAACTAATATGAGTATGATGCTAAAACTCAGGGAACTCTACTATAATAATTGAGATTATCTTTAAATTTTGATTAACCAGTTTTGTTTTGTTTTTTAATTTAACAAATATTTGCTGAATGTCTCCAATGAGTAGATAATCTGTGGATTGAGGTGGTAAGTAAGAGAGGAAAAGTTACCTAAGATAAGTCAAGATTTCAAAGAGTTTATATTCTTTTGGGAAGAGACAAGTATATACACAATCATATAATAGAAAGGGAAGACTGGGAGTGAAGACAGAGTTGACTATAAGCGCTCTACGGAAATGATGAGCTTTAAGGTTGTGCTATGTTGGTATGTTGCCTTCAAATCTCCTGGCAGTATGGTCGATGTTATGATCTTAAATACTTCTGGGAACAGAAAAGCAGCTTTTCTGAATTCGGAAGCAGGTTATCAGTTACCTTGGAAAAATCTTTCATTCTGTCCCTATGTGTTGAACTGATGCCGACTCTCTACACTTCCACAGCATTCACACATACACAAGCAAAACACTATTATCATAGAGAGACAGAAGGAAAGGATCGAAGCTAAATTCAGCTTTTGTTTCA